CGCCTGCCCGCCGCCTGCCGCCGCGCGCCCTCCTCCCGCTCGCTCCCGGCGCGGCCGGCGCTCCGCTCTGAAGTTGCAGCAAGTTCGCCGGTCGGGCGGCGGCGCCGCGGGCGCCCGGAGCCTTCCTCGCCCTTGGCTGGCCGAGACTCCCGGGGCGCATGGGCGCGGGCCGCACCCCGCCATGGAGGGCCTGGCGGAGGTGGAGGCGCGGGCGAGCGACCGCGGGCGGCTGGTGGAGGTGCGGCTGAGCGGCGGCGCGCCCTGGGGTTTCACCCTGAAGGGCGGCCGCGAGCACGGCGAGCCGCTGGTCATCACCAAGGTGAGGCGCCGGGGCTGCGCGCGTGGGGCTGCGGGGCTGCGGCGCGCGGCTGCGGGCGTCACCTTCGGGACCTGGCCTCGCGGCAGGCGGAGGTGCGCGGTTCCGGCGCCGCCGAGCGGCCCAGGACTCCGGTTCCGGGTCCCCTTCCCTTCCCCCTCCGGGAAAGGGCCCAGCCGGGTCCCCTGTCACTCCGGGCTTCGCCGGCCACCTGCACCTGCGGGGCTGCCCAGAGGTGCGGGGAGGAGGATTCCGAGGGGCCCGGCGCGGGCCTCGGCAGGGTCCCCGGTTCGGGAGCTGCACCCGTTATCGCTCGGAGAGACCCAGCCGGGCAGCTGCCGCCGGCCGGCTCGATTCCCGGCAGCCATCAATATTTACTGACTTTAGGCTGCCAGCCCTGCATCTTCGTGCGCCGAATACCTGCAGGAACTTAGAGAAACTTTGTAGCCTGCCTTAACCTTAGCACTGGGGTTCCCATAATAAGAGTTCCTAATGTGTCTCGACTACAGCGTGTGTGTGTGGGGGGGGGGGGGTTGTTGCTTCCGAACTTGGAATTCTCCAGGCTCAAAACCAAGGACGTCTTGAAATTTACCGCCCGAATCGGTAGGAACTTGGAAAAACAAATAAACCAACCCCAGTGTTTTCTTCTAGTTCGAAGTGTCTAGTGGTCAGTTTCTTTGGGGAAGGCTGAGCCTGGCCACTCGTAGGTACAAAGTTCCCTTTAAAATGTAAATGTTCTTGGCTGCTGGAAGCTTTTGAAGGTGACTTGCAGGTTTTTCTGCTTTCCTTCCCCCACCACAGCAGGAAGAAATCAAGCGACTCGTAACCCACCCCACGGGTAATGAATTTGGGAAGTGAAATGACTTTGTTGTGCAAACCACAGAGACCCCAAAACTTGTCTATCCTTTCTCACTCAGACTTCTCTCTGTCCCGGCTAAAGATCGGACCCAGGGTCTCATGCCAAGTCTGGACTGCTGAACTACACCTCAGCCCTTTTGTCACTTTTGTATTTGCAAACTAGAGACTTTGAGGGGAGTTGTTTAGCTGTGCATTGAATTTATGTTGAACCTAGGAAAGAGTTTGTCCTAGTTATGAATTTAACCAGGGCGTGATCCTTTATAACGTCGGTTTCTTTCAGAGGGGCTCGGGCAGTCATGAAGTGTATACCTTAAGGGCCAGCGAGGCCATGCTTTGTGTCTTCTTAAAGCTTATTAGCCCGTGTCTTGTAAAGGAAAGATTTTAGAGCCGATTTCTGATGGCAGCAGTGAAAAAGCCAATAGGTAAATCGCACAAACCGTTAGTATTTTTTTCTTTTTAAATTTATTTTTACTTTTTGGTGTAGTAATGAGGATCTTTCCTTTAAGACCTAGTCTCCTTAAGCTGCTAGGTAGAGCCCAGGCTGGGCTGGAACTTGTGATCCTCCTGCCTCAGCCTCTCAGTGCTGGTATTACAAGCATGCACACCATGCTCCACTGATATTTCTTAAAGAAAAATAAAATTCAGTTCCACACATCTTCCTCAGACTTGTCTTCATGGCAGGTGGAATAAGTTGTACAATGTTATCTGATATGAAGTCTTGCCTTTTGGCCCTGCATAGTGTGAGAAAGTTGGAGGTCACTTTAACTTAGGGTTGTTTCTTTTATTTTTTTGGTACCAGGAATCGAACTCAGGTCCTTGCAGTGAAACCACTGAGCTAAATCCCCGGCCCACTTCCTGTTTTGTTTTTTGGGGTTTTTTTGGTACCAGGGATCAAATCCAGGACCTTGTGCTTGCAAGGCACGTGCCGGAACCACTGAGCTAAATCCCCAGCCCAGGGTTGTTTCTTGAGAACCTGAGAGAGGGACTGTGGAGCCCCTCCTCCTTCATACAGGTATCCCGAAGTTCTACCCCGCCCCCTACCTTCTTGGTGTTCTCCTGTGCTTTCTGTAAGTTGAAGGAGGGCTGCTTAATTTATTTGTTCCAGTGTGGCCGGAAGATCTGGGTTTCGTTCCTTAGGAGGGAAGAGGTTCAGAACCGGCTGGGGCTTTTGGACTGGTCTTCTGCATACATAGATAGCTAGTGCACAGTGTCACCAGTACTTCTCAGACCTAGCTCTCGTGGACTGGACTGGATGGTGCTTGCCTGCAGCCTGACAGCTGGTAACTAGTTGTCCCATGATTTAAAAAGGGTGAAGGAAATATGTCTATTTATGACCACTTAGAAAATGGAAATAGGCCACTGTGATGAACGCGGGGGAAAATTGTCTACAACCAGAATTAAATTCAAGATTTGAATCCTTGGGGGCCGGGGATTTATTTAGCTCAGTGGTTCCGATGCCTGCCTGGAAAGTGGAAGGACCCGAGTTCCATCCCCGGCACCAAAAAAAAAAAAATTTGAATCCTTGCTACTGAATAGTTCACTGGGGCTCATTAAATAATCATTCTTCTAATAGTTCTTTTGCACTTAAAATTTTTAATTAGTTACATATTAGAGGCCCTCAAATATTGCATCATTTGTTTTCTGTTCAACAGACTCTGATTTGGAGATAGCTTGATCCAGGGATAAAAGCACATGTTCTTTCCATGGGAATGTGTGTGTCATTTGAAAGTCTCGTGGGAGTGCAAATCACAGAACTGGAGGAGGTTGCACATGGTGGCCCTGTGTGTAATCCCAGCTACTCAGGAGGCTGAGGCAGGAGGGTTGAAAGTTTGAGGCCAGCCTGGGTAATTTAGCGACGTAGTGAGACCCTGTATCAAAATAAAATTGTTTAGAAAAGGACCGGAGATGTAGCGCAGTTGGCAGAGCACTTGCCTAACATGAGTGTGGCCCTGGGTTCAATCCCCAGTACAGCAAAAACAAACAAAATCTGAAAGGGGCACACGTGTGTGTATAGCACAGTGGTATAGGCGCTTGCCTAGTGTGTTCGAGGCCCTGGGTTCATCCCGAGCACCACAAAAAAACAAACTGAAAGCATCGTCGAGCATAGGGGCCAGCATAGGGCCGGTTCAAGCCTGGTGTGGTGATGCCTCCTGTAGTCCTAGCACATGGGCCAGCTGGCTACAGGGGGAGTTTGAGTCCTTTGGCGGCATCTGTTCGGTGACAGCTTTTCAGCCTTGACACTTGGGACATTCTGGGCTGCATCATTCTCCATTGTGGGCTGTCCTGTGCATTGTTCCACGGCTGTGGCACCGGCCTCCCGATGAGGTAACCAGGAAGGTCCCCAGACCCGGCCAGTTGGCACACCCCAGTTTTGAATTTGAATCGCTTTGTTAGGTTGATGGCGGGTCACTTTTGCTTGCAAAGTGTTCCGGCTGTTACTTAATTTTTCTTCTGGAAGACGTACGCCTGTAGGGTGGTGTGTTTGGAGGCCGGCATTTCCAGTATTTGTGTGGAGCGCCAAAGCGCTGGCCCTAAGAAAGGGCTTTATTTGTGTAGTAAAACACAAACAAATAGTTGCTTCATCTGCATTTTTGTAGCCAGAGAAAGGAAATAGGACGCAGGGCTGGGGAGTCCCTGCTTCTTTGAGCACTCCGAGTGGCTGTGGGCCGGCAAGGTCTTCACTTTCTCTGAGTCTGGTTTGAAGTTAGAGGACATGCGCTTCCTGGGAGAGTAGCATACGTGGACTATGAGGTGCATGGGCGAAGCCCTCCAAGACCTCTACTGAGCGACAGAAACAATTCCTGACTCTTGGGTGTGCTGACTTGCAGTTTGAGATCAGTCTACCCTTAGCAGAAAACGTTTCGGAGAGAGCAGGGGTGAGGTCCAGGTTCTGAGAGACTGCAGGGCTCGTCACTATTTCCTAGGACTGCTGGGGCCTGTGGAAGCAGACTGCTCAGGGTGGGATGGGTGTCTGTGGTCCTGCTGGCTGTGCTGCTCCTTTCCCTGTCATTGATTCAGCCGGCTGAAAGCCACAGAGGGGTAGGAGGCTGATTTATAAAATGTCACCTAGTGACTTGAATTCCAACGAGGCAGTGGAGGGATGGGTTAGGAGGGTCAGTAAGGCTCCCCGTGGCCTCAGGAATGTTTGTTGCTGCCGAAGGAATGAAGCCCAGCCCCGCCTGGTCATCATTTCTTAGAGTCTCTGTTAAGAATGTCCCGAGCCCAGCTGTGGAGGAGAGATTCATGGGGCCAGGCGTGACCCTCGGCTCTTCTGGGAGCCCGCTGCTTTTCAGGCTGCCTTTGGCCCCTGAGCCATCCTGAGCACGAGGGTGCAGCGCAGTGGCTGCCTCCCTTCCACTGGGAAGGTGAAGGCGCCATCAGGGCATGTTTTGGGGGCCACACCCCAAGTGGCAGACGTGCTGTGTGAAGCATTCGCTGGTGTGCGAGACAGCAGAGGGCTCAGGGCTCAGGGCTCGGGACAGGACGGGGAGCTTGCCATGGGTGAGGTGAGAGGCCTGAGCCCCTGCCCACCTCCCTCGGTGCTTTGATAAGGGGCTTCATTTTATGAGGCCTCGGTCTCGTCAAGGTCGTCCTGAGCCTGGGCACGCAGCAGTTCGGGTCGGCAGACCTGGTCCTGGTTGGGACAAATTGTTGCCCCGTGTGTCCTTGTTTGTCCCCAAGAGCCAGGTCCTGTGTCAGGTGTCAGTCATGGTTTTGGAAAAGAGGGATCCGTTGAGGAACTGACGGTCTAAAAACTTGCTTGTGGATTTGTGTAGACTTCTGTGTTTGTGGTTTAGGGGTATCGGGAGGGCTGGGCACCCTGGTTGCCATAGCCACAGCAAGTCTTCCGAATTAGAAAGCCCAGTCACTCTCTGATGGCAGTTAGAGAGTTTTCTTGAGTTATTAGGATGAGTGTAATTCTAAAGACTCATTTGTTCTGGGGAATTAATAGTATGGTTGAAATACCCGAAGTGAGTTTTGTTTCCTGTGCTGAAAGACCTTTTCAGTTGGGAGACCTGCCTTGCCAACTGGCTTTCAAATATATCTTTATTACCCTCTCCCAGCCCGCAAATTAACAGGCCCTGCTGAATTCTAATCCTTGTTTTTCTGGAGATGTTTCGGGTGTGTGGGTGGGGAGCCGGCCA